TCAAGAAAATGGTATCAGAGCCTGGTAACATGTGAAAATACTAAAATAAAAATGCCACAAATAGATTGGTTAAATGCATTTTTAGCAAGATGAAAAACTCACTACAACATAAATAACATTTGATAACATATTTGTTATAACACTTTATAAACTTTTAGTTTATGTATCACATTAATGTAACACTTTTGACATCATAATTTTTTTATACATTTATGTAACATATTTGCAACACTCTACCAATATGTGACATTTTTGTGTAACACTTTCGCAACACTCTACCTAATGTAACATTTTTATGTAACACTTTGATTAAGTGTCACTTTCTCTATGATGTGATATGAAAAGTCGGACCATACCTCGTTCACTTGTATGAACTGGTTGTCAGAGAATCGATTAAAAATGTTTCAACATGAGGTTGAACCGTGATTAAGTGCCACTTTCTCTATGATGTGATATAAAAAATCAGACCTGACCTGGTTCACTTGTATGAACCGGTTGTCAGCGAATCGATTAAAAATTTGTCAACAGGCGATTGAACCGTCAAAATCGACCGGTTGGATCTGGTTGAATCGGTTTTTTTTTTAAGTAAATTTTGATTTTAATATATTTAAAAATATTTTTAAAATAAATAAAAAAACATTTAGATATAATGGTTATATATATATATATATATGTTAGTTATTAGTTAGTTTAAGTATTTGAATATTTTCAGTTGTCTAAATATTTAATTAAAAAAGTTTTTATATATCTTTTATTTTATAAAATATTATATATTTAAAAATGTTAATAAATTAAATAATGGTCAGAATGGGATAATTAAAGAAGTTTAAAAGCCTTTTTATGTGTTGAAAAATAATTAAATTAGGTAAATAAAAAGAATATAAGCTTAAAAAAATGGTAAAGTGAAAAGAGAGAAATAATAAATTGGCAATAGGGTATTTCAAAAAAGAAAAAACCTACTGGTGATGCTACATAGCCACCCTCCATTACAACATGGTTTACAACTATGTGTAATAGAGACATTAAAAAATGTGCATTATTGCATTTTTTAATGCCTCCATTACACATAGTTGTAAACCATGTTGTAATGGAGGATGACAAAGTAGCAAAATCCAAAACCTAAGGGAGTGATTGTTTACAAAATATTTCACTCCAAAAAATTTCAACTCAAAATCTAACTCAACTTTAACTCAATCCTACTATCTTTAATATTATTCATATAATTAAATAATACAAACCAATCATTCTTACACATCACATCAACTTTAATTCACTATTCATCTACTCACATAATTTTAACTACCGATCATTTCCAATTATTTATTTTCTACTTTATATCAAATCAATTTTAATCATTTTATTTTAAATATTATTTTATATATTTTTTAAATCCTACTACTAATTAACCACATTACTTTTTTAACTTTGACCATAATTAACCAAAATGAAATATTTTGGATGAAATATTTATAAAGAATCATGCCCTAAGAAGCTCTTCTCCAATTTGTCATTCCTCTTAGACCAAGCCTTACGCGACAAGAGCATCGATCCCTCCACAATTGAGGATCTCATGAAGCTGTTCGAGGAATCTATCCGAGGTTAAGGCGTATCAGGCTTGAGCCAATCTCGAGCTTGGTTGTAGTTTTGGTTGTAGGAAGAAAAAAATGGAAAAACGATCGAGAGAGTTCTGTAGAAATCAAATCTCCATTAATGATGAGCTTCAAGCCCTCAAGGTTTCAGAAAATGTTCAATCCCCTTTAAACGTACTTAACATGCAAATCCCATAATCCCCACTTACTAAGCAACACGTGTGAACTCACGTGTGTGAGAAAAAAAAAAGCTAAACCAAAGCATTAAAGTGCTACACGATTTTATAAGTGACTTACAACTCTTTCACTACATAAAAATGACAGAACAAAGAGGAAAAATATGAGCTGCATGTCTTCATGCATCAACCAAAACTCGATCCATAATCTGCAGCATATCAACAAGTCAACACCTCCCCCTCAAGCGGGAATGTGACGGTTGACGTGCATTCCCAGCTTGAAGAGAAATCTTCGAAAATCAGGACCTCCAAGAGCTTTGGTAAACACATCTGCCGGTTGCAAGGAAGAGGAGATATGTCTGGGAGCAATGAAGCCTTCTTTAAACTGGTTTCTGACTACATGGCAATCAATATCTAGATGTTTCGTGCGCTCATGGAAGACTGGATTTGCTGTGATGTGGAGAGCCGCTCGATTATCACACCAAAGAGTGATTGGAGTAGAAACAGATAGATTGAGATCTTTAGCTAAGTAGGACAACCATTGCAACTCACAGACTGTAGTTGCCATAGATCTATACTCAGCTTCAGCTGAAGAACGAGAAACAATCTTCTGCTTTTTTGTTTTCCATGAAATTAATGAGTTCCCCAAGAAAACATAGTAGCCAGTCAAAGATTTCCTTGTAGTTGTGCAGCTTCCCCAGTCAGCATCACAAAATGCTTCAAGTGTAGTTGAAGGCAGGGCTGCATAGTAGAGACCAAGAGTAGGACTTCCTTTCAAATATTTAACCAGGTGAACTGCTGCATTCCAATGAGCTTGTGAAGGAGCTTGTACAAATTGACTGAGCTGCTGAATGGCATAGGAAATGTCTGCTCTAGACAAATTCAAGTAGAGAAGTCTACCAACAAGTCTCGTGTAGGTCTCTGTTTTATCATACAAAGTAGATTCCAAAGGAAGATAGGTTAATGCCAGCAGGTAAAGGAGTAATAGAGGCTTTTGAGTTCTCCAGATCCAAGTCATGAACCATGTCAAGAATATACTTCCTTTGACTGAGGTAAGTACCTTCATTTGTTCTGAAAATCTCTAAGCCAAGGAAGTATTTTGCCTGCCCCAAGTCCTTAATGGTGAATAGATCATCAAGATATTGCTTAAGATGTTGTATGTCCTGCAAGCA